TGCCCGGGGGCCACCGTCCGGAATGCGGAGTCGTGGCGGGTTCCAGATCGCTTCCGGAGCAGGTTAGGTGGGGAGAGTGGAGAGCGAGGCCTGGGTCAGTGGGATCTGGAAATTGCACAGTCTGGAAGCGCCCACGCTGGCACGAGCTTTGGTGTGCAGAGTGAAGTAGGTCCCCGCTGGTCCAGAAGCAGACGGGTGGGGACCGCGCGGCGGTGTCTGCGGTTTGAAGGGGCTTCTCGGGGTCACCCCGCAGCGAGCGCGCAGCTAAGAACCTCGACCGCCACTCTCGGTGCCTCCCAGCGCGCCCACCGCTGGCCACCCCGCACCTGCGAGGGCAGCGCAGACGGAGCCCATCTCGCCGACCGGGAAGGGACTTTGAATCAGCCCCAGGGCCATGTGCTCCTTAATCGGAAGGGGAAGAATTGAGATGCGGTCGAGGGCAGCCCCAAAAGAGGACAAACGCAAAAACGCTTGGCCTGGCAGGCAGCCTCTGGCAGGGACATTACGCTGCTCCCTTTAAGTTTTCAAGGATCTGGCGGCCGGTCCTTAAATTTCGAGCGTGCTTACTTAGCAGTCTCAGGTCTGAGAGCAGAGTTCCGCCAGCACAGCGCCTCCCCGCTCTCAGCCCCTTCGCCGAGCTGCCCTCCAGGGCCGGCGGGGCCTTGAACGTCCCGAGCCTTCAAGCTCCACACAAAGCTGAACCCCGCTCCCTGTTGTGGCCGGCGTTATTCGGCCCGAGAAAGTTGGTTCGTGAAAGGCGATATTCGAATTGCTTCACAGGCTCTGGCCAAATGTAAAAGTCGCGGGGTGATTTTCTCCGCGAAGCAAATTATGTCATTTTCTGTGTTTCTGATTGTTCTGGTGCATTTGGGAAGGGGTACTCAAAGGGAATCTTAGAATGCTTCTAAACTTTATTCATTTTTAGTCAGGCTTTCCTAGTTGTTACAAATTCCACTATGGCGGCTTCATAATTGTATCTGTTAGTGTGAATTCTTACAAGGATTTAAAATGATCTATGACTTTCAAAATCCATTTGGTGGGGGGGGTTGAAGTTCTGTGACAGCTAAACATCACCGTTGTCCAGCTGGGCGTGGTGGTGCACACCTGTGTTCTTAGCACTGGGTAGGCCGAGGCAGGAGGAACGCCAAATTCCACTATGGCGGCTTCATAATTGTATCTGTTAGTGTGAATTCTTACAAGGATTTAAAATGATCTATGACTTTCAAAATCCATTTGGTGGGGGGGGTTGAAGTTCTGTGACAGCTAAACATCACCGTTGTCCAGCTGGGCGTGGTGGTGCACACCTGTGTTCTTAGCACTGGGTAGGCCGAGGCAGGAGGAACGCGCAATCCAAAAAACTGGGATGTAGCTCAATGCAAAGGTCCTGGGTTCAATACCCAGTACTACAAAATTTTTGAAAAATCACAATTTACATTGTTTAACCATCTGTCTTCAGGTTACAGTCTGCACTCTTAAGCATTAAAAAAGAAATAAGAGGTTAAGAAATCGCTTGGGGTTCTTGGAAAAGTAATGCAAATGTATTTATTTACATATGCTTAGCGGCTCTTTTCTCTTTCCACTTCCTCCAACCCCCCCACCCCCAAAAAAACCTCAGATTAAGGAAAGTGGAAACCAAGTTGATTGATTATGGACCTACTGTGTCAGGTATAGATCCGGGAATCTGTCCCTGGAGCACAAAGCAATCAAGCTCTTAGGGAGCTGGGGGAGGGCAGGTGCTTCCTTCCGGAGAACTGTGACCTCGCTCCAGGCACCTCCTGTAGAGTACGCAGCTGATCCTCTCGGCTCCCTGGTGGCTTCAGGTATCCAAGCATTTGCCCGTGGCCCAGAGCCAGAGGCCACCGTGGCTTCCCTGTGGTGTGGGCAGCCTGCCACCAAAAGCCACATCCTGGGAAGACAGGAAACGGTTTGGCAGGAGCCTGCCACATAGCACCCATAAGAGCCCGCTGGGGAGCAGGAAGCCCCAGCTTGTGGAGTGGCAGGGATCCAGGGCACCGAAAGCCTTCGGAGGTCCGAATGGGCACTGGGCTCGCTTCCACTGGCCTTTGATCCTCACGGTGCCTCATGACCACTCCAGGTTCATTCCGGAAGAGAGAATCCTGGCTCACACCCAGCCATAAATGTCCTCATCTATCTAGGATCCCAGCTGAACCCACATCTGTCGTCAGGACCCCCTCACCTCCTGGAAGAAGGAAGCGCATCCAGGAAGGTGCCCAGGAGGCTCAGGGTCTGTGAGGACCTTGGATTTCATAGACAGGACAGGGACCCAGAAAACAGGCAATTCTGCCCCCCCCCCCCCCCCGCCTGTGGGATTCCAAGGGATGGTAGAATGTCTGTTCATCTGAGTTGGGTGGAGCGCTTGTGGAGCTGGCCGCAGGAGGAACTGCTCAGGTCTGAGAGTAAAAGTCAGAATCCCCGGGGGCCTTGTTCACACCCAAATTGCTGCCCGGAAGCACCACGGTGAGAATGCACATCCCCCACCCCTAGTCCCCGAGGCGGCCTCTGCCCCCAGGGTGGGGGTGGGGACCACTGGGAGCCTCCTCGAGTTTGGAGTTTGCTTGTGGTAGCTTTCCCTGGTGCTCGTCTGCGCCCTGCTGGTAGCAGATAGACTTGCTGCTTTCACCTCTCCGGGGGCCCGCAGAGGAACTTTTACTAAAGGAGCCACTTACTTAGTGAAAAGCACAGGGCAGACTGATTTTCTGTTTTTGTGTGTGTGTGAATTTTCTTCTCGGTACTAGGGATTGAGCCCCGGTGCTTCACACTGAGCTACATCCCAGCCCTTTTTAAATTTTGTTGTTGAGACAGGGTCTCCCTAAGTCTCTTAAGATGTCCAGGCAGGACTCTTAACTTGCAGTCCTCCTGCCTCGGCCTCCCAGAGTATAGTAATCACAGGTGTGCAGCTGCAGATCAACTCTCAAACAGATGGCTTCCTCCAGGAAAGGAGGTACGGTGCAGCGAGTAGCCTAGGATAATACTTTATCAAGATGTTTTTCTGACTTGCAGGGAATTGGTGAGCAACATTGCCACTTCAGTGTTCCAATAGCAAGATTTTGAGAACACTGCTTCTCTGGGGGCAATGATGACGCCTTTGTCTTCCTCGTACTTTTCCAGGAAATGCCAGTGAGTCGGAGGAGGACCAGGGCACTGGAAGCGTGGAGGCCCAGGCCATCTCCAGCACCCACCGGGTGACTGACTCCAAGTTCCACGCCCTGCACACAAAGATGGACGTCATCAAGAAAGGTCATGCCAAGGACAGCCAGCGCTACAGAGTCGACTATGAGTCTCAGAGCACAGACACTCAGAACTTCTCCTCTGAGTCCAAGCGGGAGACAGAATACGTGAGAGCCTTTGCTCTTCTTAAGGGGTGCAGCAGGGAGACCCACCATGAACCACACCCCAGACTGCATGGCACTCCCACCTCTCCTTCCATAAAGGGCAGTGACCCTGTCCTGTCTCGGAGACTCTGAGAGGTTCAAGCTAAGCCACTGCTTGCAAAATACAGTGTGTCCCCAAAGTCTGATGTACCCCAAAGCATGGTATGTCACCAAAGGCTACCATGGCTGCAGGGAGGGCTGTAACAAACACTTCCACTTTTCCCCTGGGCCTTCTGAGTTCACCCTGCTCTGTCTGACTCAGGATAAGGAGGCTTAGCGGCCTCCCTGCTAACTGGGGGTGGAGACCTGGGACAAGTTCCATCAGCCTGCTTGGCGGGGTGCTGTGTAGCTTTCAGAGTGGTAACCATGCCCTGTGGCCCCTGCTTGCTGCCCTGCAGGGCCCCTGCCGGAGAGAGATGGAAGACACGCTCAACCACCTGAAGTTACTCAATGTGCTGAGTCCCAGGGGCGTCCACATCCCAAACTGTGACAAGAAGGGGTTCTACAAGAAGAAGCAGGTAAGTGGTGAGTAAGGTCCTCTGGGGGTATCCATTCAGTTTCCTCCCCAGCCACTGGCTCAAAGGAGAAATCTGCTTCTCGCCGACCCCAGGCTCCAGCCAGGTCCCTGTAGCCCCTGTGCTATGACTCCATGTCTGTCTCAGGACGGGACTGAGGGTGGCCCGAGGTGAGGCTCTACCACACTGCTTCTGCCAGGCCTTTCAGCTGCTCACGGCAGAGGGACTCACTTGCCAGACTCGGGCTTCCTAAATAACTCAGGACAGAAGAGCCCACCAGATCCCCTCTGTGCCTGTGCCTCTCCCATAGTGACAGTGATTTGAGATGTTGCTAAGCCACAATGAGTCACTAACCCTCTGGGGCTGTGGATTCGGGTGGCCGTGTTTGGCCTGGCTTCCTAACTGGACAGTTCACGCACTCCCAGTAGTGTGGCAGGGGCCACAGTCAGACCTTCTTCCTCAGCCTCTTGTCTGGCTGTGGTTCACACTGCCACTTTCCACTAGTCACCTGGCCAGTGGCTTCCCCTGAGAGGTGGGGTGTGGTCTCCAAGACCCGCCAGGTGTCCCTGCCCCTGTTCATCCCTGCTGGAGAGGCTATACTGCACGTGCGTGTACCCAGGCACACATGCACACAGACGCAACTCAGACTGCCACCCCCCGCCTGCAGTGGCGCTTCAGGAATCCTGGACAAAGTGTGTGGCACCCAGGATGCTCACGGCTTGGTCCTCTCTCTCTGTCCCTCAGTGCCGCCCCTCCAAAGGCAGAAAGCGGGGCTTCTGCTGGTGTGTGGACAAGTACGGGCAGCCCCTCCCGGGCTATGACGCCAAAGGCAAGGAGGATGTGCACTGCCTGAGCATACACAGCCAGTAGGCCCGCTGACCACGTAAGCAGGCTGGGCTGGGGGTGGGGAGTAGAATGCACAGCGGGGGGGGCAGAAGCTCCTGCAGCCCTTCCCCGCAGGGTCAGGAGAGCAGGAGAGGCTGGAGCCCACTGCTTTGTCCTAAATGACATACACCATGTGAGCTCTTACACACACACACACACACACACACACACACACACACACCCATTTTCAGAGTGAATCTCTGTCCGTTCCGTAGAAGTCAGTCTGATGGTTCCCAGTCTCCACAGGAAGCCGCTGTCATCTACAAGAATTCACTAAAAACTCTTGTTTCTGAATTTAAACTAAAACTAGCTCTTCTGAGAAATACACCCTGGCTAGTCCTTTAGCTTGCAATTCCTTTAATTTTAAGAGTGCATTTCAGTAACATGAAAGTGGAATTGTAAGCCATCCTTTTGAAGAACGCAACCATAGTCTTCTTTTTTCTTGTAATAAATGAGGAAATTCTTGGGGAATTAAAAAAAAGAATAAATTTCCATTCATCTCCTGAAGACACTTAGTAAGCAGAAGAAATCTTCATTTCTGCTTAGCAGTAGAGTCTTTTCCTCACAGGTTAGGGAAAATAGTTTTAATTTTAGGGTAACCGTATAACAGTGAACACTTAGCTTTGATTCATTGTGTTTTTAACTCTTTGGGGAAGATACCTAGGAGGAGAACAGCTGGGTCAAATGGAATTTCTGTTTGTAGAGTATACTTTATAATAGCCAAGATTTAGAAACAGCCTGTACATCCATCGGCAGAGGAATGGTTAAAGATGTACCATTACACACAGTGGAGTACTACTCTGCCATAAAGAATGCACTTGAGTGATTCATAGTCTAATGGATGCACCTTGAAACCATAATATTTGGTGAAATAAGTCAGACTCGGTGCAATAGGCTTAAATATCCCACAGTTTCTACAAGAAACCTGAAATACAAATGAAAGATAATAGAAAGTAAGAAGGTAGTTTTGAAATGGGAAGGGGATTAAAAAAAAAGAATGAAGCTGTGTTATCTGCACAGACCAACTCCAAAAAGAGTAATTATTATGGATTATGGGCTACTAATAAGAAAAAATCTGGGGAAAAAAAATAGTCCAGCCCACTGCATCTCTAGGGCAGAGGTCTTCTGGGTACTTACTTAAATGTCTTCTTTTTGTTCTAGTTAATGTGGAGTTCAAATACGCCTTATTTTGCACAGAAGACTGCCAAGGACATGCTCAGCAGCTGGCTGCAGCCTCAATTTATATTTCTTTTTGTGGTGAACTGATTTTAAAAAAAAAAAAAAACCAAAGTTTTAGACAGATTTTTTGAAATGCCTATGGTTCCTTTAAGTGGTAAACTTGAGCATCTTTCCAGTAATTAGCGAAAAGCAGTTTGAATTTTCTAGTTGCTGCCTATAAACCTCCACGCTCACAGAAGTTTCCCCACCTGGCCTGGCCCTCAGCTGAGGGGACGACCCCTCCCTCTCTCCCACCGCAAGACTTTGGCACGCAAAGCTTCTTCCCACCCGCTGTGAAATGAGCACGGGCCATAGGAGAGTGGGAAAAGCTTCAACTCCAGTCACCTGGGCATCCTGACACCCCCTCCCAAGGTAACCCAAGGGGGCATCTTTGAATCAGGGGCCACGAAGACTGTTGTCTACAAGTGACCTGATCTACTTTGGAAACTACCGGAGGGAGTAAGGTGCAGTCTGACAGCAGGATGACCAGGAAGGTTGTTGGGCAGGTGTGGGTGACCCTCCATCGGGGGCCTCCTGATGGCCACCCCTTTGGGAGGCTGGGTGGCTGGGGTCACCTTGGCCTTGCCTCCCACGGGGCAGGAGAGGCAGGGGCCACAATCACACAGTTCTTCAGAAGACTGAAGAAAGTAGTGGGGTTTTTTGTTTTGTTTTGTTTTTTTTCTAGTTCAACTCCTCAAAACAAGATTTTTGAGGTTAAGCTCTTTAACAGCAAAGATTTATTTTCATCTCTCACCCGTATCCTGCTGGGCACAATGTAAAAGGAAAAACAAATCTAAATAAGAAAGATGGCCAGCTTGCCGGGAGCCTGTCGAGGACACTGGGACACTTACTTAAGAGATCTCTGACCTGTGTTGGTTGAACTTGGAATTCTTCTCTCGCACACTCCTCACCACTCGTACATATATACGGAGATGTGTTCTTCAGTAACTGTTAACAGTGTATGCAACATAGCCCAAATATTATAGGATCTATACTAGATAATCCTAGAGAAAGTGGTAGCGATACTAGACATAACCAACCGTGGCCATGACAGAGGAAAGGAGCTCCTGCCCCCGTGGCCACCTGTGGTCCCCAAGGCCGGGTCCGAGCGTGTCTGGAGAAGCCAGGTCCCAGGGTGGACCCACTGCATGAAGCTCCCTTGAGAATTCCAAGGGCTCTTGAGACGTTCTGCCTACCTATTAGCTTTCCTTTATTTTTTTAATTAAGTTTTTGGAAAAAAAAAAAAGTATTTTTGAAAAGTTTGTCTTGCAATGTATTTATAAATAGTAAATAAAGTTTTTACCATTAAAAAAAGAACCTCTTTGCCCATGTTACTCCCTATCTCTGGATCTTGTGTTTCTAAGGGAATAATTCAAAGAGGGTTGTAGTGCTTAGGATTTAGCTCAGTGGTTACACCACGTGCCTCACAAGCACAAGGTCCCAAGTTCAATCCCTGGTACAAAAAAAAAGGACAGCAAATCTGCTCAGGGTAGAAAACCATGTGCTCCTGTCTGTCCTCTGGCTAGCAAAAGGACCCCAGCAAGACCCTTATGGTGGCCTTTGTTGGCATCTAGCCACAGGGCCATTCTGGCTTTTTTGTTTGTTTGCAGTACTGGAAATTAAACCTAGACAGAGCCTTCACGAGCTACAACCACAGCCATTTTTAAAAACTTTGAGACAAGATCTTATTAAGTCACTAAATTGAGGCTGGAACTTGCAATCTTCCTGCCTCTGCCTCCAAGTGCTGGGCTTACAGGCCTGTGCCACCAGATCAAGTCACACTGGAAGTTGGGGTTGTTTGGCTCTTATGGTATGGGGAAGTCATCTCCCTCACACTGCGGCCCCAGCTCTGGGGTTTATCCTCTGTGCTTTGGAGGGGACACCTGTGATCTGTGCTCCCATCCTGTAACCTTCCTGCCACTGTCCAACAATCAGGAAGAGGAACAGTCAGGAAGAGGGGACCCCAGGAGACGGGGTGGGATCCTGGGCTTTGGGCCCCCTCTATATAGCCTTGGGACAATTGACCCTTGTCATAGGACTGCTTCAGGTACAGCATGAAGCCCGTGGCTTTAGGGAGTCACTTCCTGTGTAAGCCACACCTGAGCCACCAGTGACACTTACGAAATGGTTACAGGATCACAGAACAAGGTGCTTGCCAGTTCTGTGGGTGCTTGGGGATCTGAGGGTGTGGGTTGAGGCCATGGGGCTCCCCAAGGGGACAAAGGTAAAAGTGACAAGCAGACCCATGGGTTGGCACTTGCCAGGCTGGAAGAGGGGACTGTTGAGTTGGGGGAGGCACAGGCTATGGGTGGCTTGCCTTCTGAGAAGCCAACAGCTTGTGTGTCCTCCTTGTCCTCACCCTCACCTCTAATCTCTGCCACTTCCCACTCTTGTGATGGTCAATTCTGTGCACCCACAGACTGGGTCATGGGGTACTGGCAGATGGTGGGACTTCTTAGCCTCAATACGTGTGTGAGCCTGTTGCTGGTGAGTCTCCTTTGATAGGTGATTCGATCCATAGATGGACTGATTGATAAATGATAGAGATGATAGATGACTGACTGATAGTCATGGGTTGATACATAAGGATGATAGATAGACGAAACATGGGTGGGAGGGTGGGTGGATGGATGGATGGGTGGATGGGTGGATGGATGGATGAGTAGATGGGTGGTTGGGTGGATGGATAAGTAGATGGGTGGATCAATGGATGGATGGATGGATGGACATAGCCTGGGAGTTCTGTTTCCCTGAAAAACTCTAATACAACACTTTGATCACATCTTCAGCGCATCCCCTGCCATTTCTAGGAAGCACATTAGAAATCCCAGCAGTACTGTCAGGGGAGCTCCCATTTCTCCACATCCTTGCCAAGACTTCGCGTGTTTGGAGTTTTTTATTCTAGCCAAGTGAGATTGTGTTTCATTGCAGCTTTGACTTGTACCTCATTGACCACAAATGAGGCCAAGCATCTTTTCATGAGCTCTGAGCTTATTTACACAGCTGGTTTGGAGAAATGTTGATTCAGATCCTTTGTGCATTTTTAATTGGTTCACTTATCCTTTTGTTTGTTTGTTTGTTTTGTTATGTTATAAGAGTTTCTTGTATATTGTAGGTACCAGTATCTTATTGGATATGATTTGAAAATATTTTCTCCCATTTCAGTAGGTTTCTTTACACTTGACTGATAGTATCTTTTTTTTCTTTTCTTTCTTTCTTTCTTTCTTTCTTTCTTTTTTTTTTTCTTTCTTTTTTTTTTTTTTTTTTTTTTTTTGACAGGATCTCACTATGTAGTTGAGACTGACCTGGAACTCACTATGTAGCCCAGGCTGGTCTTGAACTCATAGCAATCCTCCTGCCTCAGCCTCCCAAGTGTTCGGATTACAGGCATGTGCCACCACGCCTGGCGGTATCTTTCTAATCATACATTTTTTAAAATTTTGTGGAAGTTCAGTTTATGTATACATTAATCCTTACATATAAGGAGATCTACATAAGGGCTAGCTATAAGGAGGCCTGTTTTGTGTTTTTATTATAAATTCTTTTCTCACATAAAAACATTTTGACTAAAATCAATTTTTATAGAGTGAAGGGAGGGAAAGAAGAAAGGATGGAGGGGAAGGAGGAAGCATCATGTGTCAAACCTTTGCCTGCAACCAAAGCCAGAATCCAGGTGGTTTTCAGTCTGTTCCCTCTTCACACCAGTGTGACACCACTGGCAAACCACGCAGTCAATGCTCATGGATCTTAGCAGGACATCCTAGTTTTCTGTTTCTTTACATATTGTCAGTACGATCTGCTAGCATTTTGTTGAGGATTTTTCATTTACATTCCTGAAAGATATGATCTGCAGTTTTCATCATTGTAATGTCTTTCTGTGATTTTGACATCAGGGTAGGGCTGGCCTCATACAGGGAGCTAGGAAGTGTATTACTCCAATTATCTCAAGAAAAAGATCATGAAGAATTGGTATCAGCTCTCTCTTAAATATTTAGTAGAATTCATCAATAAAACTATCTAGGCTTGGGGCTTTATTTCTGGACAGCTTTTTAATGTCAATTTAATTTTCAATAGGTATTATCCCTAGTTGAATATTTATTTCTCCTTCTGTGAAATTTAGTAGTTTCAAGAAATTAGTTCATTGCGCCTAAATTATCAAGTTTATGGGTGTAAGATTTTCAGAGTGTTTCTTTGTTATCCTTTTGATGTCCAGCATTGATGGCCTTTCTTTTGTTTCTAGTACAGATAGGTTGTGCTTTCTCTTTTTCTTGGTTAGTATAACTACAAGTTCATTGATTTTATTAAAAATTTTTCAAAGAACCAAATGTAGTTTGTTTGATTTTTTTCCATTGTTTTCCTGTTTTCATTTGACTTGTGTTTGCTTTATTATTTCATTTTAGGCATGCTTTCAGCTGAAATTTTTCTTCATTCTCTAGTCTCCTAAAGCAGAAGTTTAAATGATTGATTCTAGAAAATCCTTGTGATCTACTACATATATTTAACAAGTGTTCTTCTAAGCATTATTTTAGCAGCTAATGCATTTTAATTTCTCTAAGCTTCCTTTCTTACATCATATGTTATTTCAAACTATGTTGTTCAATCTCCAAATAATTTGTGATATCCTAGGTAACTTTCTATTGTATTCTAGTTTGATCGCTAATTTAATTTGCCGTAGAACCACAGATACTATATAATTGTTATTATTTTGAATTTATCAAGGTGTGTTTTATGGACAAGAATATGGTCTCTTTGGGTGAATATTCCATGCGAGCTCAAGAAGAAAGCATGTTCTGCTTTTCTTTGGTGAAATAATCTATAGATATCAATTATATTCCATTGGTTGATGATACTCTTGAATTCCAGTCTGTCACTCCTGAATTTATACCTGCTGAATCTGTCTGCTTCTGAGAAGAAGGGTTGAAATCTCCAATCCTGATAGTAGATTCAGCCATTTCTTCTTCAAGTTCTGCCTGGTTTTGTCTCTTGAAGGTGAGGCTGTGTTATTAGATGTGCATCATGTTAAGGACCGTTACATCCTTCTGCATAATTGACCCTTGTGTCCTTGTGTAATGTCCTTCTTTATCACTGATAATTTCCCTTGTTCTGAAATTTGATTTGCCCAAAACTAATGTAAGTACTCTTGCTTTTCAAGTGACAGGAAGGTATCCATTTCTCCATTTCTTTGTCTGTGTGTGTGTGTGTGTGTGTGTGTGTGTGTGTGTGTGTGTGTGTGTGTACCGTGCTGGGGATTGAACCCAGGGCCTCATGCACATGAAGCACCCACTGTACCACTGAGCTACGCACCCAGTCCCCATCCAGCTCTTTCCTGTAATGTATCTGAGTTGTTATATTTAAAATAATTCTTGTAGACAATATGTAGTTTGCTTTTCAGGCACTCTGTCTCTTGGCACCTTTAGGCCATTCCCGTGTAAAGTGACTCCGGATCCATTAGATGTGTTTTCAGTTCTCTGCATTGTGCTCTGTTTCCTTCCCCTTGTTTTTCTGCCTTCTCTGGTTTCCACTGAGCGTGTTGTATGATTTCATTTGCTGTCCTCTCTGGTGTATCATTATACTCGTTTTGTTGGTTAATGATGGTTAATCTTATGTGTCAAACTGACTACACCACAATGCCCAAACATGTAGTGAAACATTATTGTGACTGTTTCTGTAGAAGTGTTTTTGGATGAGGTTAACATTTAAATCAATGGAGTTTGTGTAAGGCTAATTGCCCTCCATAATTTGAGTTGGCACCATCTAATCAGCTGAAGGCCTGACCAGAGCAAAAGCCTGGCCTCCTCCAAGCCAGAGGAAATCTGCAGCAGATGCCTTTGGACTCAAATGCAGCCTCTGCTCCCTGCTGGGTCCCTATCCTGCCAGCCCACTCTGCAGATTTGGGGCCTCTCGGCCTCCAGAATGGGATGAGCCAATTCTGCAAAGTATATATCTGTATGCACACATCACATGGCTGCATTTCTTTAGAGAACCGTAGTTCCAGGAGTGGCTGTGGAGGCTCTGAATGGTAAGGATGAGTTTTCTGAACTGGTTCTGGGGTGTGTGAACTCGGCCATCTAGTCTGATGGGATTTTAAAACATCACTGACTCTATGTCCAGTAATGAAGAGGATGCTAATAGTCCGTGATGTGAAAGATTCGCAACATATTGTCATTGGAAACTTCTGATCCAACACAGTAAGAAGCCAGTATCTAGGTGAGCGTATCTATGACGTTTTCTAGTGTTTTTGTAGAACTAATGAGCAGAGTGACATTGGATGGATGAATAAAGCAAGGAAAGAGAAGGATGACTCAGGCCTTCAAATTTCCCACCTTGAGCACCACATTAATGGTTCCCAAACTTGCATATCTCCCCAAGGATGCCCTGGCTTCCTGTAACAGCAAGACTGAGATCGCTAAAAACCAAAGCCAGATCCTCACCCTGCAAATGCATGGCCTGTGCCTCAAAGTGGCCTACAGCGTTCCCTTCAACAGTGTCTCCTGTTAGGATTGACTGGGAAGGAACAGAGTCTTGAAAGTTAGAACAAGACACGAGAGAGGATACTTATGAAGCAGGAGACACTGAGCCTGGAAGTTAGGTTGAGACTTCTTTTCCAGTAGAGGCAGCCTCTCCATCCCAGCAGGACCAAAACCTTGGCCTCTGCCTGAGAAAATTCATGCTGCATGGTCTGAGGAAAGCTTATTGGGCTTCCCTGAGACAGGCATTATGCAAAACACTGCCACCATGGCCACCCTCCCCCTTGTCTGCCAGACCTATAACCAGACACAAGTCCAGCAGTCCCAAATGAGAGGTACAGAGTGACCCATGAGGTGGTGTGCCACACTCCTGAAGTCTTCTCAAGTTTTCTACTTTAACACAGATACAACTCCAGAAAACATGGGCAGGAATGAGTCCTCTGAGAGAGAGACAATGGCCAAAGAACAAGAGTTGGATCAGGCCAGGACTAATGAGAGGGACTGACTAAACAGAGGTTTGCTTTCCACATCACACAGTGGGCCCTTGACAAAAGGCTGACATGTGGGCTGGAAGGTGGAGCATGGGACGTGAATTCAAAGTCCAGACCTACCTTGTTTTATTGCGGCCAGAAGAATTCAAAGGCTTTAGGAGCCACCATGGGTGAGCCTGAAGGACACAGCTTTCACCATGACTGTGAGAAATTAAGTATGTAGGGGACTCCAGCATCCCAGAGGTCCCCCAAGTTTGCTTCTCTCTGCAGGTCGGTCTGGCCTCACAGTGGGGACTGCAGCCACCAGACCTAATGAAATGGGAGTGGTTGGATCCCACAGTGACAGGGGGCTGCACAGGGGGTGTCCTGACTGTAACAGATGTGGCATCAAAACAGTATGGTGTCCTACGAGGGGCACAAATAGGAGCTATGCTACCCTGTGCACCCAGGAGGTGATGGATAGGCACTGAAATCAGACCAGGTACAAAGCCCATGGCCTTTTCCTTTGCCATTGTGTCCCACAGCAGTATCACATCTCACAAACAATAATCCTTTCTTTTTTTGCATTTCCCCCTAAAAGAAGCATTTTGAGAATGCAATTGATGGACACCATGAAAAACTCAGGGTGAGCAGGTGTGCTGGCCCCACCTCCAGCCCATGCAGAAGCAGCCTGACCCACTCACTGTGGACTGAAGATCAAAGACAAGCCAGGGTGTCACACGCCTATGTGATCTTAGTTCTCAGGAAGGCTGAGGCAAGAGGATTGCAAGTTCAAGCCCAGCCTGGGCAACTTAACAACTTAGTGAGACCCCATCTCAAAATAAAAGACGGAGGGGGGAGGTAGTGTAAAGGCCCTGAGTTCAATCCCCAGTACCACAAAAAAAAAGAAAAAGTAAATAAATAAACCATGAGCGGGTCCCCGAGGAAGTCTCACCTTCCCTCACTCATTCTTACGGGACCCAAGCTAGGACCTGGCACAAGCCTGTATGGTCTACATCAGAGACATGTGAGGCAGGTACAGGGCCTGGACCCTCGGCCTTTGCCCTGGGTGAGGGAATGGCATGGCCACTATCTGCTGCACTTTGTGAGTCTGAGCGATGAGCTCCAAATGCCAAGCCCCTCCCTTGGCAGGGAGGGGGGCAGCCTGGGTGGGGAGATAGTGCTATATGGTGCACCTGGGGGCAGAAGCAGCCCCTGCTTCCCAGAAGTGGCCTGGGGTGAGGAGAGGCCAGAGCTACTAGAGTTCCCATGCACTTGGCTGGGACACAGATGTGGGTGCCGGGGCTGCTCTTCTGGGAGGGAAGGGGCGGGGACAGTGTGGGGAAAACCAGCCTGCAGCTCACAGTTTCAGGGGCAGAGGAGACAGCTAACCACCAGCTGGGAGCACTTAGGGCCAGGGCAGAAGGGGAAGATGGGGAGCACATTAATCAAGTGACCACCTAAAGATGGAGAAGACCCTGGGCTTGTTTGTAAATGGAAGGGGAAGGGTAGAACCAAGGGCCCTGGCTGAGCGGTGAGCTCGGACCCCAGCCTGGCCCTGACCACTCCGGGAAGGATCCATTCTCAGACAGAAACCACCGCTTGTCAAGAAGACAGAAACTGCACAGGAAGGCCAGGGTGAAAGTACAAAGGGATTTCAGAAACAAACATGATACGTTTCAATCAGCAACCACCTTGCAGGTTTATTCCAAATGTTTCCAGTGCACGGTGTTTAACAATGTATCTCATACCACAATTTACATAGCTTATAGAACTGATTATATTAGCAACATTTTAACTTCTTAACTTGCAGGGGGGCCAATTTTTGGCAGACCTGTGTCTGCTGGATCTCCCCAGTAAATCATTCCTAAATACAGATTCATCTCCCCTTCAAAGTTCTTGAAAGATCACTGCCTTACATTTGCTTGTGTATTTTCTGGGCAGTATCAATCCGTACTCTCAGAAAACATAAGAACTTTTGAAAAGCAAAAATACAAGTTATTACACATAAGGTGATAAGAAGTGTTCTGTGATGTATAAATTACTATAGCACAAGTTACTGTGTAGAAAAAATAAACTTATAGTGAATAAATATAAACCAGCTTTATATATCAAGTGTGCAGTATAAAAACTAGTTCCTGTATATATACATATGCACATATATAAAAATGTGTGTGTTCTACAGTATAAATACACTAGGTAGGCCAGGGATGTAGCTCAGTTGTTCTGCCACCTGCCTCACAAGTGCAAGGTCGTGAGTTCGATCCCCAGTACCAAAAAAATAAAAAATACACTATGTACTTAAATAGTTCATGTGAAAGAACACGCAGTGCATCTGTTTTCAGTTTTGTAAATTAAAATACTGCTGGCAGTCGGGGTCTCCTCTGGTCTCCAGAGACCCAGGGATCTTCTTCCCACTCCAGGGGTAGACGCACCAGCACAGCCCTGCTTCTCCGTCCAGGGAGGTCTCGCACTGCAAAGAGAGGACCATGGTCAAGAGCAGCAGAGGAGGAAATGACTGAGAAGCTACGGGTACAGTGAGGGCTGGAGTCTGAGAGCCCAGCCCCCTCTGGTCCCTGTCAGGAAGCAGAGGCAGTGAGCAAGCGGCCTGAGCTTGTGTCAGAGGCATGGCGTGCTGCGGGACCCCCTGAGTTTGAATGACTGTTCCCATCTGTTGCAGAGTGGTGCCCAGACCTCAGTTTCTCCCAATAAAATCCTCAGAATCTATGTTTCTCTGGTCCCAAAGTCTCCTCAAAATTAAGTCTTAGGCTAGTTCATTCTTGTTTTTCTTTGGCAAGTCACAAAAATGTGACTGCATTTTCTTATAGTAAGAGATGCGCAGAGATCCCTGCTCTCCTAAACTGGATTACTGGGGTGGGGGCCAGAGCCCAGAGTCCTGAGATCTTTGGGTACCCTGTGCCTCAGGGAGGCAGGCCAGGCACAGACTGCCCTCCCTCGCTGTGGAATAGGAAGCTGCCCTTCTGTCTACCTCGGGTCATGCTTTTTCTGGTCCCCATGGGGGGGGATCTTGTTTCATGAGACCAGCTGTGGTGCGTATTTAGGACTGGACATTCATTGCCGTGAAAGATGGGGTGGGGAGGAGCATTGCAGGGTATGGGTAACCGTGACAATCCCATGAGAAGCCCCATCGGCAAGGCCACCTACCTGTTTGCTGTGATAGAATCCATTCTTGTTGCAGTTTGGCAGGTAAAATTTGTAGATTTCTTCCTCTGCCTTCTGTTGAGCATGGGCTAGCTGCTCCAGCACTCTGAAGAGTTCTCTCTGGCACGGCTCCTAGAAGAAACACTTGACATTAGGATGGAGAGAAGACACAGTGAGTCGTCAGCCGGGAGAGGAACTGAGAAGGTTTTGTATGGACAGGAGCACCCGGCCATGGAGCTAGGATGGAGTCTCAAGTGTCAAGTGCCATCTGCCCTCCACGAATGACAGGGGCTGGCCACTGGCTTGCCTTGTCAGGGTGAGAGGGGAGCCTCATTCTCTCCCTCTGTACATTGCTGAAGCAAAAGCTTCTGTCCCCAGGCCAGAACCTGGTCAGCAAACGCCACAAAGTCCTTCCCATCTCCCCCCGCTGCCTGCTGAATAACTGTGATCCCTGCCATCGGGCACAACTTCCTGAGCAAGGACTCCAGGACCACAGATGCCCAGATTTGGAACATTCTCCTCTGCAGTCTACAAAGTACTTTCACACAGTCCAACTCGAGGCGCGAGGCCTTCATCCGGGTAACCCGAGACAGAATCAAGTCTCCCACATTTGTGTTCAGTTCCAGATGAAGTTCTCACGCTCCTGAGGAAGCTTCTTTCACTTTTCTGGGTGTGCCTGTTTGCACAAGGGAATCTTTTTCCTTGCTTTCTTTTCCCCATCAAATTAAATCACACCTCGCCAACTCTGGTTCTCTGTCGCCCTCCAGTGGTAGAATGTAAACCAGACACTAGCTCGGGACACTGAATATTGGTAGCTTGTGGGGACGAAAGGTGCTGGAGATAGAGGTGAGGACCCCATTCGCCTGAGCTCACCTTCCATTTCTTGATGTCTGTGGTGTCGCGGGCCCGCATACTGTTGTAAGTGCTGATGGCGTTCCAGAGGATAGGCAGGTCCTCTCTGGAGGGGGCCAGCAAGTGGAAATTCTCCAGCAGCTGTTTCTCTGTCATCTCCCCGCTCTCAGGGCCCTCGTGCTTAGGGACAAGGGGGGCCTTGGCCTCTGAAGAGGAAGCACCACAGACCCATGAGCCGACAGGTGCACCGCATCATCCCTTCCTCCCTTCAGAACCGGGCTAGGGCGCCACATTGGTCTGGCCAGCCCTGATCTGGTGATGGTTTCCAGGAAGACCGCACACCCAGCAGCTATCTTAATTCTACTCTGGAAAAATGGCAAGTTTCAGGGTGCAGCCCAGGGAGGGCCTGTGGTTTTGCTTCTAAAGTACAGGGGAAGAAGCAATGTGCACATTTGCCGAGACCAAGGCTTAGGGCGCTGATTCCTGAGCCCATTCCTAGGGGAAACCCAGCCTCAGCATTCTTGTCTGGAAAATGGGACCTCAGTAACACCCCAGGACTGAGTGGTGGGGTCCCCAAAGGGGAATCTAGGGCAACCCACACCTGAGCCTTAGCCTATCCTCTTCTCTTCTGTGGGGACTGCCTGCCCACACACCCGGTGACTTCTCTGTGAGGGCCCAAAGATGGGGAGGTAACAGCCACCCCACAGGCAGAGTCCAGGGGTGAGTGGTGGGGCCCCATCCCACCCTCCTCTGTGGGCCCCTGAGAACATTTCCTTTACTCTGCAGGATGGAGGATCTGCAGGAAAAGCTGGTCCCCTGGGGAGGGTCACATGCTCACAGGCTGATCCCTATCAGGGTAGGGAACCACGAGACCCTCAGAGCCTCCCACAGGACGTGCCACGGGCCCTGACCAGTGATATGGCCCAGAGCGGAGGAAGAGGCATTTCCTGAGCTTCCTACTACAAACAAACCAGGGCTCAAATTCAGGAAGTGACCTGATTGTGGCATTCTCACAGGGCAACGTACACATCAAACATTGTTTGTCTATGGCAATGAATGGAAGTGAAGTTTTCAGCCTAAATTTTCACATTATGTTCTACAAACCTCTGGGAGGCACGCAGCATAGCCACAGGATGTATATCACAAAGGACATTCCAAACACTCCCAAGGGCCAGCAGGAGAGAGTTCCCATCCTAAACCTTCCCAAAGGAACTTTCCAGTCTCTGGGGCTGTCCCTGGCCTACAGGGGCGAGGGGAGGTGCCTGGGGCTGGCAGTGCAACCTCACCACCTGGAGATCTCTGGACATCACTGGGCTGGGTGCCAGGCTGGGCTCTCTCCCCCACTCCCCCAGGATGTGTCCATCTTCATCCTACCTTCTTCTGGGTCACCTCCCACGGGGCCAAGCAATGACAGGGGAGCCTGGGTGACCTAGCACCTCTGTACCCCGCACCTCTCGCTGCAAACACTGAGCCCAGGGTGCAGGCACAGTCTTACCTTCACCCTCGGCGCTGGACACAGCCTCCACAGCAGGTTCATCGGGCTCTGGCACACAAGTGCCCTGGCCACGGGTGAGGGCGTGCAGGGGCCGGGGCTCCCCAGGCAGTGCACGGCAGCTGAGTCCCTGGGCACAGCGTGCAGTGGCTACACCACAGGAGGTGCCAAGTGGCAGGGCACATGATGGGCAGCAGCCACAGCCTGTGGGCCGGGAGATCTCTGGGCAAGAGGCGGGCACTGGTGGGCAGAGCGCCAGGCGCTCAGCAGAGCAGGGGGCGCAGTGCCACGGCTGGGGTGCGCTGGCTACCATGGCAACCTGGGCAGCCAGCAGGAGCAGGAGCGACCCAGGGCCAGCAGCTGGGGCTTTGGGCATTGCAGGGCGAGGGTGGCAGGCAGTGGACGGCACTCGCTGGACAGGAGTCAGTGCTGGGCACAGGAGGCAAAGGCACGGAGGTGGCTGCTCGCAGACAGGAGCTCAGCTCGGTGTCTGATGCTGGCTGTTCGGCTTGGAGGCTGCACACAATGCCTCTGGGGTGCAGCCAGCTCCTTATGAAGCCCATGCTCCAGGGACCCACAGTTAATGATTGCCAGCGAGTCCGAGCCCAGTCTTCAAAATAAGTTTGTTTTGCCCCAGTGCTCTGCGTAAACTGTGGGTGGAAGGAGGGTGCGCGGTTCAGGTTTCAGACTGTTTGTCCTGCTTTTGTGGTTCAGGCCAGAGCTAAGTCCACTCCTAAGGGCAGGCTGGCAGCCAGGTGGGGATGACACTTGTTGTTGCTGCAGGAACACAGGAGGCTGCGCTGGCTTTGCCCCCACCAGAGCTCCGGAAGGCACAGAGCCTGGCTGGTTTTCATGTGGAGAAACCAAGGCCGGGGCTCAGGACCCATAGCAACATAGCGCCTCCAAGGCAAAGGGGGTGGTTCAGAGCCTCAGTGGGTCCCCAGGCTGCCTGGACATTTTGACTTAGGCCAAATCTTTATCAGTAACCAGATGCCAAGATAAAGAGCCTATGCATAAAATGCCTTTAGATAAAATGCCTATGTCCCTGGCATTCTGAGTCACAAGAAAAAAAGTAGAAGCCTTTAAAGCAAATGAGAAACACCCCATCTCCAGGGGCTCAGGAGCCCCTGAGGAACTGGGCCTGGAGATGTGACGTGTCCAGGCCGGTGTCCCCAAGTTCTGCATCCCCTGTCCCTGTCTTTGCCTCCAGGTCCAGGCGCAGGCTCAGTCCAGCTTCCCAAACCCCCAAGCAGTATTTCAGGTCTAAGGAGGGCTTGGTGACACCCTGTCCAGCCCCTCGCTTTACACAGTCGAACACCCAGGCCACAGGAGGGAGGTCGCAGGTTCAAAGACACTCAGACCCCTGTACCCTGATGCCTGTTGCTGAGCATCACAGTTGAGCCTTAAGGAAACGTCCCTCAGTGCCATTTGGAGAAAGCGCCCTAAATCACACGCACATTGCCCATTCATCAGTGAACTGTTTGGGGAAGCAGCGTGGATACAACTTCCAGAGAAGGTAGGGGAGGTGACTCCAAAGGCTGAGCGAGTACTGGGTTCGGGGTATAGAGGAAACCGTAGCAGTGAGGAATGGGCTGTAGACTGGGAGGACAATGGGCCACTGGAGTGCTGTGGAGGGGCCAGCAGAGCTGGGGATGAGGAGGTGCCACCGGGGAAGGGGCAAGGTGGCAGCAAGGCTGTGCAGGATTAGGAGCACCGGGTGCTGCCCCGTGAGTCACCAGTGTGCGCCCTTGCCCCAGGTCCATCTGGACCCCCCCTCAGGGATGGAGGGAGCTGCCCCACCTCTAATTCCCAGGGCCACTGTGATGTACACAAAGGGCATCGCTGAGGGGAGTTGTGAGGGTACAGGAAAGGATTCTCCAAAAGCCCTGGCTCTGCACCCCACAGATGATGGGAGGACGTGGGAGGCTGCTTGCGCTTGTGTGAAGGGATGGACGAGGCACAGCCTGCAGTGCCCTGGATGCCCGGGGCCAGGGACGTCCTCTCCCTGCCAAATACCTGGCTGCTGACAAAAAAGAGCTGCTCTGTATCCTCTGCTAGAGGAAAAGCTCCCAGCTAAGGAGTTATTCAAGTTAAGTAAAACTTAGTAAAAATGGGAATACACAGAATACGGTATGGCTGATGTACAATAAAAGGAACTGTGACTCTCAGCAGGTCCAGTGTCGAGAGAAGAATACAGAAGAAACTGACAGGATGTATACTCAGCCTCAGCCATGAGGAGGGTGTGAACTTCACGCCTGAGGGGCAGGTTGGTTTCTTTCTCTCTAGTACTGGGAATGGAAGCCAGGGCCTTCACACTGAGCTACATCCCCAGCCCTTTTTCTCTCTTTTCTTTCCTTTTTTTTTTTTCCTTTCTTTCTTCCTTTCTTTTTCTCTTTCTTTCTTTCTTCTGAGATAGGATCTTGCTGAGTCACGAAGTTCCCCAGGCTGAGCTTGAACTTACAGGCCTCCTGCCTCAGCCTCCCAGAGTGCTAGGATCACAGGTGTGCACCACCATGCCGGGCTCCCTGTAACCCTTCTTAACCTTCTTCTGAATTCATCCTGGGTACTTCATTCTTTATGATCTGTCTAAATAATCACCAAACTGAGATGAACTTGCTGCTCCCTGTCTCAGCCTGTCCCTGGTTCCCTGATGCTGGGGAAAAACCATTTTGCCAAGCTGGCTTTTGTTCCGCCTGAAAAGTCTTAATAAGTAGCAACCACTCTAGCAACAACCAGAGCAAGATAGGAAAAAAACTGCTGAAAGTTCGTGATTGTGTCTGCTGTTATTTTTTACAGAGCAGCATTTGGTACCTGGTTTTGGAATGGACTACTGATATTAAATTTTAACATTCTTTGTTTTAAATTGACCTCTCTCTCTCTCTCTCTCATTCACACAAGGTCTTGCTTTGTAGTCCAGGCTAGCCATGAACTCACTATGTAGCACAGTCAGGCCTCAAACTCAGGGAACTCCTCCTGCCTCAGCTTTCCAAATGCTGGGATTCCAGGCATGCACCACCACGCCCAGTTTAAACTGACATTTTTAAAAGACTTACATCTAAAATTGTACTTAAAGTGAATAGATTTGATATCTATCCCTAAATAATTTCATTTCCAGAGGAAGAATCTACACTCTGAATTTTGTTTTCCCTTTGGCTTCCTCACTTACAGTCACTACCTGCACCTGAAATGTTTTCTTAACGAACCGTACGAAGAGAAAATCCGCTGGCAAATATTTGGGGCCCGTGTTCTGTGTGCCAGGCAGTTTGCCTGGGCCTGGACAGTATAGCCTGTTGCACCCTTGCCCAGTGCCCATCCTGCCCTCCCTCCCTGAGATCACCGTGCATGCAGTACAAGATCCTCCCCTCAAAATCAGTTCCCAAATATTTCCATCACTTGCCTCATAGCAACGGCAAATCAAACAGCCACCAAACCCGGAGTGTGCGTTCTGCTTTCACTCCCTCTGCCAACACAAACAGTACCAGGCTTGCATGGGGTGACAGCCCTCCCCTGGCAGGTCAGCTGTCTCTGTGCCTTGGAGGCCTCCCTCACCTAACCCTAATCCTGGCCCCAAACTTCAGTTCACTTCCCCACTTGAATGCCCCCCTCTTCCCATTCACCTTGGCCTCGCATCTCTCCACCTGGTGTCTTTGGCCCATCCCGGAAGAGGGCGTCCTCCTCTCAGTGGGGCGGCTGGGATCACAGGATGCCCTGGTGCCTCGGATTCCTCGGGCCAGGGGCTCCTCCAGCCAGGAGCTCTCCACAGGACGTGAGGAAGGAAGAGCATCCCACATCCAGGCTCCTCTGACCAGCAAAGGACAGGGTGGTCAGCAGGAGGACCAGGATGGGAGGGTGGCGAACCAGGCCAAGCGGGTCTTGGATGAGGAGCCTGCGTCAGGCTAGGTCATGTGCGACCCCGTGGCCTTTGGGAAGTCGGGGTGTCTCTGAGGTCAGTGCTCAGCATTAGCTTCCTGCTCAGCTGCGGCCCTGTTTCCCTCCAACCCTGCTCCAGGCCAGGGACTGGCCCTAAACGTCCTTCCCTGAAGATGCCAGGCGGACCCAGGAGGCCCTGCACTTCCCCCTGCGTGTGTGCACCGGGCTAGGGGCAGGGCAGGGGCGCAGCAGGCCCTAAGCCCTGCGCACGCGCGAAGCACGGTCGTCACCCACTGTCACTGTGGGATCCAGGCAGGGCTGGGCGTGGCCGGGGGTGAGCCGGAGAGCGGGGAGCCCTGCCCCGGAAGCGCGTACTGCGCACAATTCCTGCCAAGCTGAGCCGCTGCCAGCCGGGGAGACCTGGGTGCCACTCCTAGACCCGGCCGGGTAGGGCCAGAGCTTTCGGCTTGTGCCAGGCCTAGGGGGCTTATTTTGGAAGGCGGTGTTAACAGACGGTGCAGGGGTCGGAGAGGAGGACACACAGGAAGCCTACAATGATGCAGAATTCGTGTTTCGTCAACTGGACCAAAAGAGCCTCAGGCCAGGGACCCCATCCGACTCCTGCATTGCACAGGCACTGTTGTTGCCGGAAGAGAAGCAGTGGGATCCCCCGTGAGCTGCAGGAGGCACCCATGACCCGGCAGTGCCCAGCATCTGGGCCAAGAACGTGATGGGCATTCTCACCACCCCGCCTTTTCCTTGTGGAAATTAGAAAGTATGTGTGCATTGGAAGAGCTCAACTGCAAGGCATCGGCCAGCCGGGGAGGGGAAGTCACAATGCCTGGAGCAAGATGCCTGGGTCCTCACCTGACAGCCCAGGTGCTAGTGCACCCCGTGACCTAGGGGCCTCAGTTTCCGGCCTGTAAGGTGCACGCTTGGCATAAGTAAGGCCTGGGGTAAAAGCTGTGGTCATCAGGGCCTCTCGGGGGCTGCTGCCACTGCTCCAGGCAGAGTCATGGTCCAGGATGATGAAACCTCATGAGGCCTTCCGTCACCCAGTACCAAATGCCACCTCTGTGCGGGGCCTGCTTACCCTCCAGCAACCGGAAAGTTGGGCAATCCGTGCTCTGAAAAGCAAAGCAAGAGTCAAGGGCAAAGTCCGACCTTCAAAGGGGAAAACGCTGCAATCCAGGGACACTTCAGAAGGGAAGTTGTTTTTAACCTGGGGGAAAACACAAGAAGCTGTCCCGCCTGTGTTCCATGATCAACACAGGGATGATGTAAATCTGTGCAAAGGCCCGGCATGCGTCCTTATCTCCCAGGTGGATGAAGGACACCAAAAGCAGGGTTGGAAAAAATAGCTCACACCTACACTCCCCGCTAACTGCTATCTGCTCTGTCACATCAACAAGCCCAACTTCTACACCTGGAATGCACCCAGGGCAACGTCCAGGATGCTGTAGGAAGACCAGCTTTCCATCTCAGTGCTGGTGGTGAAGCCACCTTCTGGCACCATATGCATTAGTAAAGGGGATGATCTTAAACGCCAGCAGCAGGGGCAGCACATTCCCTTGCCCTGTCTGCAGAGAGACAGCTTGGTCAGGGAGCTGGAAGCTCAGAGGTGCAGGTGTGGCCACCCTGGGGCTCTCCACCCTTCTCTGCCCCCTCTCCTACCCCTGACCTCACTGGCCACCCTAGGATCCCATCCTGTT